TATGGACTAAATTACTTTAAGTATTTTGAATCACTGTGGACCATAATCCGCCACCGAATTTTATGTTTCCACCGACTATAATCCGCCGCGAATTTCATATTTTCGTGGATAATAATCCTCTGTGAATTTTATATTTTCGCTGACTTTTTTCCTCCCAGAACCTCTATAATTCCGCCCACAAGGACTAATTTCATACTTCTGCTAGAAGTGTACTGTACGGTTGTATGCCGTCTGACTTACCATGTTTTTATTTTGCAAAATTCAAATATTTTTCATATATATTTAGCCAGGTGTGCCGCTATTTTTCATGTGTTCCAAGGTGTGCCGTTGGCATAAAAAGGTTTAGAACCACTGGGCTAATGGCTAGATATGAAACAAAATGTGGTAGGTAAAAACGTGGTATAATAAAGTATGTCTGAGATGATACGAAAGTGCAATAAGTTGATAAGTAAAACAAACGTGGAAAAATAGGATCCGAGGCTGAGATTACAGTACCACGCTCGTCTTACTGCTTCTATACAAACAAAACGTGGTACGCGACTTTGGCTTATTTTGCAAATTATGTCGATTATTTAATCCATTTTGATGTTTTTATAGGCCAGATAATGTACTCCATTTAAAAAAAACCTACGTGGTATATTGGGTAGATATGAAACAAAATGTGGTAGGTAAAAACAGGGTATAATAAAATAAGTGGATGATACGAGAGTACCATGAGTTGATAGTTTAAAAAAGGCGGTATAATTGAATCCGTATCACGCTCACCTTACTGGTTCTATACAAACGGAACGTGGTACGCGCCTTTGATACATAAAAAGTGGTATAATAGAATCCGAGACTGAGATAATCGTCCCACACTCTTCTTACATCAGGGGCTGAGATAACCGTACCACGCTCACCTTACTGGTTCTATACAAAAGGAACATGTTACGCGACTTCAGAACAAAAAACTTGGTATAACAGAATCAGAGACTGAGATAACCGTACTACGCTCGCCTTACAGGTTCTATACAAAATTAAAGTTTCAATAACTTCCGTTAATTCCTTCTGGAGTTATGACCTTGTGAACGCTCTACCGACAAAAGTTATCAACCGATCTGTGAATCCAAATTTAAAAGCCTCAATATAGTATAAATGAATCGTTTCTTCCATATCTCGGTCTTGTCCCGGTCTTGGGGGCTGTTCAGATGCTTTCATCTCGAAAACTTCTCTTATTTCCTTTCTTAAACTTCTGTTACTTAGAGTCCTAACGGTGGTCTAGAGTGTGAATCCAAATTTAAAAGCCTCAATATAATATAGCATAAATGGTCCAAAGAGGGCCACAATCTTTGAAAAAAGTTGAAAAATCGTTATATCTTTTTCTAATGGTCTAATGGTATAAGGGAGATAGGACATTGGCATCAGACTACCAATTATTTGCTAAATATTGTTAAATATCTTCTAATTTTCCTTTCTTTTAAAAACTGTCCAATGGATCTTTCTGAAACTTCTGGTACAGGAAGTTAAGTTCCCATACAACGTGTTAAATCTATCCCGACAATGAAAGGGTGAAAGGACCCGATATAAGTGGGATGAAAGGACCCGTGTAAATTTGGGATGAAACAGCCCGAGATGAACCGGTGGTGGGATGAAACGACCTGCTCCCAGTTGGAATTACAAGTAAATAGTCAAATTTGTCAAGAGAACTTTTTTATTCGTTGGGATATTTAGTTGTGCAATGGATTTTATTAAACAGGAGTTGATTTCAAACACACAGGTAAGTTTATAATAACTAAAGTTAAGTAGCTTGTTCATAATCGAAGAAATCCGTTTAAAGGGACTATCCCGATTTCAAAAGAGTCTCAAAAATAAAAGTCGGAGAAAGTATGAAATTTAAGCGCCAAAATATAGAGGAATGGTGTATTTACCTTCTCTCAAAATTCCAGCTCAAATATTGAGTCGTTTGGACATGAACGTAACCCTTTTAAGTAGGGCTATGAATGCTGTGACGTCATCGTGGCTAATTTTCATCGATGGCGTCAAAAATCAGGACACGCATTACAAAACACTAATTTGTAAGCAGATGTCTGTACTTAAAATTATAATGATTTATATGGTATGAATCAGAATTGAATTAGCATTTCAATGGTGTTATTTATATTTTGGTACACTAATTACCTGCCGAGAAATCGTCCGTTGAAAAGCGTATACGGCTTATCGAGTGATTTTCTCGTCGTAAAATTTTGTGGCACACAGATTTTTACAATTTTCGGATTTTGTATGCTATTTTTAGTCATTTCGTAGCTAATGGTGATACACAGGAGATCCAGAATTCTTATCCAATCAAAAAGAGGGAATGCTAAATTTTATAGAACCGCATGCGCTGAATTTCTAACTCAATTAGGAGCCGAGATAGGCCAAATTCAAGGAATAACCGGTATTTCAAAAGTTATGAAGAAAAATTAAATGACCAATACTATTATATCCAATAATGTTATGCATCTTTTATGTAGCAGTATTATGTATCTGCAGACATTATGGCTTCAGACAAGTATGTAGGGAGTATTGTTGAGTGGGAAAATTTCTCAAAATCTACCGGTCTTACCTCAAGTATTTGTGAATCTCAGAGAAAAGCAATTATCAGGCTTTTGTATGATTGTTTCAACAATCAAGTCTTTTTTTTTCTTTTTTTCAGAAATATTCAAGTTCCTAAAGATCTTTTGACAGACAAATTCCATTTTTATCTTCATAATTGTTCCTTATAATACTTATATCGTGTGTTATTGTGCGTGTTGTCTTTACAACTGTTATCCTGTTTAAATCTACCGAGGCCGGTTCCAAGCACGAGCTTTAAAAGTAGGAGGGTTGAGAGTAGGGCTACAAAAACTTACTACGTAAAACAACATTTTGTTGCTGAAAAAAGCACCAAAATAAACAGTAAAACTAAAGGATATATTGTAAATACTTAAGTGAACATATAAGTAAAATATTCATTAGTGTGATGCTTTGATTCAGTACTATTTATACAACACAATTTCATATTGCACATGTAATATTAGTTTGCTAGTGGATTTGTAAAATCTGTTGATTTTCTTGTTTGGGAAGGGAAAAAATCACGGCTCAATATTTTCATCCTTAATTTTACAAGAGTCAGTATCATTACTAAAATGCAGTAATAGAATGACTGTTATTATAAATATTTTGAGTTGACAGACAAAAATGGAATTTAAAGCGAATATTAATATAATGTTTCTTGGTATGTTCACTGAGCAACCAAAGATGATCAATTTTGTACAAATTGGTCAGAACCTTAAAAAAAAAATTGTCAAATTAATCAGATATGTGGTCTAAGGGGAGTGAACTCTTGTACGATTACCTCCCTTTGCTAAATTGCTAATGCAAAATTGCATAACCTTTCTATCACAGAAAATACTTATAAACATGATACTTTTTGAATTTTTTGTTGAATCCTAAGTTATATTTCCCTGGTCTGTTATTACTGTAATGGTTGTAGAAGTGCAAATGTGTTATTTTTGAATTGCTGTCTAGATTTGCTTCAGTTTGATATATTGGATGATGACATTTGTTCAATTTTATTTTGGGGGGTTTGCGATAAAATAGTTTATGGTCGTTGGTGGCTGCCATCTTGGAAATGTGGCAGCCATCTTGGATTCAAAATGGCCAATATCGACCAATTATTTCTTTAGTAAGGTTTGATTCAAGAATTTTTAATGAATAAACCACTTATTGTTGTTACACATATAAACACTTATAAACTCAATACTAGATTATATAATGGTGGCGATCTTGGATTCAAATATGGCTGACATCACCTAATTTGCATATTTGCATCACCATGGTTCTTATTTGGTTAGATGTTGTATTAATTGTTTATTATTCTGTAAATTTAACTGGAATTTGAATATAAATAGTTATGATTTCAACAATATTACAATTTTTTTGTTTTTAATTTATTCAAAATGGCTGACATTGTGGTCGACCTATGTTTTTTTTTTCGTCATACTTTAGAGTGTCGATTGGGCGTGCGTTGTGCCAATTTTCAGCAAGATCAGATATTTTGTCCAGGTATTATGCATTATTATGTGCTTCTGATCCATTGTTAATTCCTGAATTTTGTGCCATTGACCCCTGTGACCTTTCAGTCTATTTCTAACTGCTAGAGACTTTCTCTATATAAAATTTTAGACAAAAAGTACCCCGATTCACCGAACATAAATGTTCATATCTTGGCTTCTAATGGAGATATCTTCAATCTGTAAACAGTTTTATGCTATTTAAATGTAGCTTTATAAAATAGGCTTATTTGTAAATAAATCCATTAATAAATCAATTTTGCATTCATAGCCCTATTTTAAGATTTCAGGTCAGTTTTTTCGTTGGGTGATCTGATAACCGACCCCCGTTCATTTAGAGGTCTATATAGTGAATGACCCATGTGCTGTACTTGATAACGAAAGGTAAATTTAACCTACACATTATTATTATAAAATAAAAGTCTAGTTTTATGCAGACACCGCATAATATAGCTTAGGACACCGGTCTCCATTTCCAGATGAAGACTGACAGGTTTATTAAGTTGTTCGAAAACGTATCACAAATATTGAGTTAGTTGCTCGACCCTTAGCTAGAGGAATTTTAGGGACTTTAACACAAAATTAAGCAGTTTTATTCTCCCAAAAATATCGGGATTAGCCCTTTAAAATTTACGATGGTTCAGACTGAGACAGTTCGTCAGTTGAGTTACAAAAAAGACATTCTGCCATTCGAATAAAATGTTGTTCCAATAATTGTTTTGTATACCAGTTTTTTGATTGGTTGTGATTTGCACAGTTCAATTGATCCCCCCCCCCCCCAAAAAAAAAAAACTAAAAAAAACCCCAAAAAAACCCATCAGAAATGGCGACCTGTAAAGACCAAAATTTATGGACATCAGATGTTTTGACATTTCCAGGTGGGATAATATTATTGGCAGCACTGCCATATTGAAACGGCGATTTTACCTTCCATAGATACCGTCCGTTATTTTACTTCTCTTCATGGGTCTTCTGAGTTTGCCACAATCAACATTGCGTGGTCGCTTCATATTCTTTTCTGTGTGCATACATCTATAACCAGTTAATAAATCTCTTTTGTCTTTTATTCCTCTTTCCTAATTATATGACAATCCTGGAAGTGCTTTTTCGATCTTCCCAAATGCACATGCGCCATGGAAAAGTCACGAAGGCATATCGGTAAACTACGATGAAGTCCGGAGTTACATAGCATTGTGGGATTGGAATAAAGAAGATGGCTCTACACGTACCGAAAGCTCCGGGCTTTGCCCAAATGCTTAAACAAGGCGCTAAGGTATATATTTGTTGTTAATCGATGTTATGTTAAACTGTGCATTAATTAAGTAATCTGCTACTACCAATTTTTTGATTGATTTTATTAATTTCGCTATAATAAACTGATGTAAAAATAAGCCCTACAAATGACAGGCATCGAATGAAGAAAGAAGCCATCGGCCATGTCACGCCATGTGCTCTTTTTTGTGTATCGGTACAAAGTTGTTGTCATGCTTTGATAGGAACATTCGAGAATAATATGTAGAGCGAAGCTGGTTATTGTCAAATATAAAACCTTCATAATTAATTTTCTCAAAAAATGTTAAATAATTTAATTTTTCCAAATTGATTTTTATATTTAGATATATCTACATCTAATGAATTGTATTTTTGTTTTTAAAAAAAGAACAAAAAAAGTGTGAGAATTATGTTCATTGATGTCAAAAATATGTGACGGCATTGATTAGACGCGTCATAGAAATAGTTCTATGATGCGCGTAATCTCTCGCTTGGGCGAGATTTGGTAAGTTGACATGCGCATTGCCTGTTTTGCCCAGTCAGCCAGTGTATCTGGTTCCGGTCTGAATTTTTTTTTAATCAACAGTCTGTGGGTGACAATTTCAGTTACGCTCTTGGCTATTTCCAGCGTGACAGAATACATGTAGGTGACCATGTAAAATGTCAAGCCCATTCTCTATATGATACTAAGGATAGGAGGGAATTTAAACATGGTATTTCCTAGCAGAGAACATATAGTATCATATAAAATATGAAACTTAACTCAGTAAAACAATCTCTAGATGTCATCACTTAAACCATGACCGTGACAGACGGGACATTAATTTGCATCCAGTTTTCAAAGGATTTATTCAAAACAAAAATTCTATCTCAATTAAAAATTAAACTACATTGTTATAATGATGTCAGGTATCCCATAAATTAAGCATCATGTCTGCAGGCCTCGAAATGTTTAAAAAAAGCTACTGTCGCAAGCGACATGTAGCTTTTCTTCATACCTGTCGCTTCAGTAAATAACCTGTCACTCTCAATTATCAAACTCAAAGAATAATCACATCACACATATCCATACATGTAGGTACACACATACGTGGTTAGGTCTTTGACGTACATTGCTCTATATTAATATCGTAATATGAAACCATTTTATTTCTTCGACATCGGAATGCCTAAAAGTTCTTGAAAATCGGCGAATCTGCTTTGGCTCGACGATTCGAAGATTCGTACAATTCTATCATCCGTATCCCCGTGAATTCCGCAAAGTATCATGGTAGCACACTTCCGTACTAAATCGAATACTTCACCGTTGAGTTGTAGAATTCAGATTTTAAAATATCCGTAATAAATTGAATATCAAAACACAAATCACACCTGTGCATGGCACCGTATTTACATGTACCGCGTGCGAAGGACAGATAACGCCACCTGGAATTCCCTTCTCACATATCCAAACTATATTTACGCTACAAATTATATTTATATATGAAATATTTTTCCGACCTGATTTTTTGATTTGTCAAATTGTCTTATAAATTATTCATAGCCTTTATTTATGGAAATTGTTTAAAACTTTTTAAATGATTAAATACACCAAGCAACGAGCCGTGTGCATTTCCATTCCAACCACTACTATATTTACTGTGGTGTCGTCATTATGGTAGAATTATTTCAGGTGACTTGGGGTGCGTTTTAATTTATTTAGATATAATACTCCATAATGCTATAAACTAGTGTCAAGCAGATCAAAACAAGCGCAGATGGTGTGAAATTCATTGATATAAAATTGTCTACTTCCAAACTGTGAGTAACTGTAGCCTACGACGTGAGTATTGTGGTCAATTTACTGAACATCAAGTAAAATTTAGTCCACCTGTCGCAAGCGACAGGTAGTTTTATTTGCTATCTGTCAGTAGGTGTCACAGCTCCATTGCCCGCGTTGGAAGAAAGTCATTTTTATACGCCCACATTTTCATGTGGACGTATTATGCCGTCGCCCCTGTCCGTCCGGACGTCCACAATTGTTTGTGGACTCTCTACAGGTCACAATTCTTGAAATATAGGTTTATCCCCAAAAGATCTCGGCTGCTTTCGATATTGGCATGTATCGGATCGAAACTTCATGGATTATGGCCCCTGTTTGTACGAAAAATCACGTTTTTAGCTTGTGGACCCTATAGAGGTCACAATTTTTATCCGATTTTGTTGAAACTTGAAATGTAAGTTTATAACACAAAGATCTCAGTTCCGTTCGATATTTGCGCATATCGGACAGTAACTTCCTGAATTATGGCCCCTGATTGTACGAAAAATCACGTTTTTAGCTTGTGAACCCTATAGAAGTCATAATTTTTATCCGATTTAAAAAACTGTTCTATTATATCACCGTTACACCCTAAGGATGACTGAGTTCGAATTTCGTGAAAATCGGCCCAAAATTGACAGACAAAATGGCCGCTGTTCGTTCCCAAATAGCGTAAGAATATGGTATATTATCAAGGTTGTGGACCCTATAGGGGTCACAATTTTTATCCGATTTTGTTGAAACTTGAAATGTAAGTTTATAACCCAAAGATCTCAGTTCCTTTTGATATTCGTGCATATCGGACCGTAACTTCCTGAATTATGGTCCCTGATTATACGAAAAATCACGTTTTTAGCTTGTGGACCCTATAGAAGTCATAATTTTTATCCGATTTAAAAAAACGTTCTATTATATCACCGTTACACCCTAAGGATGACTGAGTTCGAATTTCGTGAAAATTGGCCCAAAATTGACAGACAAAATGGCCGCCATTCGTTCCCTAATAGCGTAAGAATATGGTATATCAAGGTTGTGGACCCTATAGATCTCGGTTCCTTTCGATATTCGTGCATATCGGATCTTAACTTCCTGACTTATGACCCCTGATTGTACGAAAAATCACGTTTTTAGCTTGTGGACCCTATGGAAGTCATAATTTTTACCTGATTTAAAAAAACGTATTATTATATCACCGTTACACCCTAGGGACGACTGAATTCGAATTTCATGAAAATCGGCCCAAAATTGAAAGACAAAATGGCCGCCGTTCGTTCTCAAATAGCGTAAGAAAATGGTATATCAAGGTTGTGGACCCTATAGAGGTCACAATTTTTATCTGATTTTGTTGAAACTTGAAATGTAAGTCTATAACCCAAAGATCTCGGTTCCTTTCGATATTCCCGCGTATTGGACCGTAATTTCCTGAATTATGGCCCCTGATTGTACGAAAAATCGCGTTTTTAGCTTGTGGACACTATAGAGGTCATAATTTTTATCCGATTTAAAAAAACGTATTAATATATCACCGTTACACCCTAAGGACGACTGAGTTGGAATTTCATGATAATCGGCCCAAAATTGACAGACAAAATGGCCGCCGTTCATTCTCAAATAGCGTAAAAAATATGGTATATCAAGGTTGTGGGCCCTATAGAGGTCACAATTTTTATCCGATTTTGTTGAAACTTGAAATATAAGTTTATAACCCAAAGATCTTGGTTCCTTTCAATATTTGCCCATATCGGACCGTAACTTCCTGAATTATGGCCCCTGATTGTACGAAAAATCATGTTTTTAGCTTGTGGACCTATTAGAGGTCATAATTTTTATCTGATTTAAAAAAACGTATTATTATATTACCGTTCCACCCTAAGGACAGTTGAGTTTGAATTTTGTGAAAATCGCCCCAAAATTGACAGACAAAATGGCCGCCGTTCGTTCTCAAATAGCGTAAAAATATGGTATATCAAGGTTGTGGACCCTATAGAGGTCACAATTTTTATCCGATTTTGTTGAAACTTGAAATGTAAGTTTATAACCCAAAGATCTCAGTTCCTTTCGATATATGCGCATATCGAATTGTAATTTCCTGAATTATGGCCCTTGATTGTAGGAAAAATCACTTTCTTGTTAGCTTGTTCTCTATCCATCTCTCGAAAATGTGGGCGTATCCTGCCTAGCAGCCGCTGGTTTCCCAATTTGTAACCTTTTTTCAACTTAACGTCATACGGTGGCTATTTAATATTTTGTAATAATTTTAAAATATTTTGGAAGCAGATATCCTGTTATTTTGTTTGATATAATTTTTATATATGTGTTCATTTTATTAATTTCATAAACGTAAGTTGAAAAACGTTAATTTCCAGTGTTTTGACGTTAAGCTGAAAAATTTTGTCACGTTTTTAAACAAGGGTACCCCCACTTCAAGTGCTCGGCGGGCGCACTTATTATTATTATTATTTTTTCATTCTAATATCATTAGAAAGATAAATGAACGATCTTTCAATTGGTCGGGGGTGCTTTGTTGGTATTTTGAAATACCATGCATTTTTTGCAAGTTAAACGCTTCAATTCACGCAATCTTTTTTTTAGGCGATTTGTCAATATAGCACCCCCGACCGATTGAAAGTTCGTTTTATTGTCGTTTTGATGCTATTAAAATCAACAAAATCGGAGCATGGCAAGTGCGCCCGCCAAGCAATTGAAAATGGTATACAATGAGAAATTTTGTATCCGAAAGTGTCGTAATATCTGCCGAGTGTGCCTACTTTCAACACTCGCTCCGAAAAACTGGGGCGAGCTGCATCCAATATTATTGTTGATATATATAGTGGAGATAAAGTACTAAAAACACATGTATTCACCCTCGCTCCCACCCCTGCCACAGTGAAGAGAAACGTGTCGAAACATAGCCTATTTAATTTGATGCCATGGACTTCATGTATCGAAACTCTAACCCAGGCTCTATGGCTGGATTAAAGTGAAAATAATTTTGTGGAAAATTTCAAGGGACAGTAGGCCTACAAAATCCCTAAAAAGAATTTCGTTCAGGTGAGTGTCCGTTGCATGAGTGAGACTTAAAATTTAGTTAAGAAATGCATTAAAATATCCGTAATAAATTGAATATCAAAACACAAATCACACCTGTGCATGGCACCGTATTTACATGTACCGCGTGCGAAGGACAGATAACGCCACCT